GTCTTCAGTGTTTGGCCATCACCCTAGTAATCTCGTTACTTAATGATCCTTATGATTCAAGGATATGGTTTTTTCATGCTGTAATCTGACTTTAGTAAATTTGAACTTTGAACCTGGCGGGGTTATAAGTTCTGAGCTAGTTTCATCTCCTTCCTTCTGTTCCTTCATTTTCGGTTTGCCAGTCTCTATGTTTCTGTCTGCAAATGAGGGGCAAATAACACTGAACAATTTCCCATCCCCATCCTCTCCTTCCCTGCTGCTTGGCTATGGTTGGCTGGCTAATTCTACCTCTCTTACATCAGCTGTGTTCACATCTATGTTGCTGTTCTCTCTCAATTTACATTTTGGTTTGTTGCCCTCTGTAAATTTTCAGGAAGTTAGTTCTATGTTATTGGAGAAGCTTGTTGCTGCAGGGATTGGGAAGCGACCTGTTATTTGTCACTCAGGTGTGCATCCATTCTTTTCTAGCTTTCTGTATACTCATTGGCGTTATTTTTTGGATGTATCTTTGACTGTTAAAGCGATTCACGCTTCACAGGATAACCATTGACTATCAAACTGACCTTTCTCTTTACCATGATGAACAAGTAGAGCTGTAAAGATAGTGCATGAAAATGACAAGAACTAAATCAAAAATACTTGGTAGATGAGGAGTTGAAAATTTTGAAGTTGTCTACAAAAGATAAGTAGAGAAAAGAAAGAACAAGTTAAAATAACTACTTTCTAAACTGCTATTAGAATTTTAGCTTATTGATAGAACATTTAATTGTCATAGTTTCAAGAATTAAGAATTAATAATTAAAATTGGAGACTTAATATATTCATTATATGTTGCAATTTCTCTCTTTTTATGTTTTAAAAAATAGTCACCTCATTCATAGACTGTATTTTATATTAATAAGACTAGTAAGAAAATACTTTTATATATATATATATTATATATATATATTCAGATTATGAATTTTAAAACCTAATGTGATGCAATGGTCCAATGTGATGCTATAGCCCATTTATTAATCTATGTAATTTATTTTCTTACTTTCCATAGAGGGAGCGGTTCAGCTAAGTATTGTTTGTATAATAAAACTTTTGGCCCTTGGATGATTTGCTATTTGCTTGAAGTCCTTTTATTCAACAAAGCCGATTGCTATAAGGTTTTTGTTCTAAATGCATTTGCTCTAAAGGTGTTGAGATCCTAATGTTGGATCAAATAGCGTTCCAATTTCATATATTTGTCTGTACGTTTCATGATTTAATATATACAGTTTTCTGTTGTTTGCAGTATGGGGGGCCTGGTTGTGAAGCAAATTCTGTATAAGGCAATGGAGGGAAATTTTGATCACCTTGTGAATAATACCATTGGAATTGTAAGTCCTGTCTCCAGTCTCCTCAATTGCATGAATGATTTCTGCTTGTGTTCACAATAACTTGTTTTAAAATCTCCTTGCAGTTTCTTTATTTTTGACGTTTGGGTTTTAGGTGTTCTATAGCTGCCCACATTTTGGTAGCAAACTCGCAGATGTACCTTGGCGAATGGGGATTGTGCTTCGTCTGCTCTATCAGTAGTATAAAGTTGCTGGCACATGTTTAACAGCAGATGTTGATTTTAAAGTTTATTTCTCATTCTGAAATTGCTGTATTTAAAATATTTTTTCAGCTCTTAATTCTTAATGTTTCATAGGTAGGTGAGCTAAGACGGGGTCTTCAAGATTAGTAGAGCTCAACGATTATATTCGTCACCTTCACAAGAAAGGGAAGCTTGAGGTGCTCAGCTTTTGTGAGGTAGTCAGTGATTTGGTTTTTTATTTAGTTGTTCTGCCTGCGTGTATTTGTTGATATGAATCGCTGATGACTCTTTACAGACCAAAGTAACTCCAATAGTTGAAGGTTATGGTGGATGGGCCTTTCGAGTGGAAATTGTCCCTATTGAATCAGCATATCCTGGTTTTGGTGAGCTGGTGGTGAGTATATTGTGAAATCCTAACTCAATTGACTAGAAGGGGGGAAAAAGAGTAATTACATAAGATTCTCTTAGTTTCTATCTTTTAAGTTTTAAGAGAAGTAGAGAGCCAGCGTTGATGACATTTCACCGTAGTGTCATGCCTGGAACATATCTATGTTACTTATAGGTAATCCTAAAACTCATTCTTAACCTGCTTGAAAAATTGCTGGAAATGTCTCCAGAGGGGCTTTCGACATTCTAGTGATGCTTGAATATTATCAGTCCCCCCCCCCCCCACAAAAAGAAAAAAAAGCCACGTGTGAAGTTCCCTTTTGGGCTTGGCTTTGACTGCCTGTGCGGTTACTAAAAAAAAGTCTTTCTAAAACTATTATTATCTGGATGGATGTCCGCATGTAACGTCCATGTACTAAAAGAATGCCGAACAACATTCACCTGCAAGTCCTGTCAAGATATGTAAAGTTTTTTAGAGCTTCAGGTGTTGACTACCACAGCATTTCCTTTGTCTAATTACATGTTATTTCAGTAGGACATGCTATAGCCACAAGATGATTAAGCCCCGATTTTTGAGATATATGAATGACATCTGGGGATGAAACAATTGTGGGCCACATATGAAAGCATTAAAATTAGCATGATAAGCAAGTATTGCACTTCGGTTAACTCATCATATTTAAGAAAGAACAGCCATAAGGTTGACAAGTAGTCATTAGTCATTATTTTTTAAAACCGAATAATTACAAATGAACTGAAGTAGAATGCATTTTCCCCAAGCCAAACTGAGTTCCTTGCATCTCTTTTTGTATCGAGATTGGATCAGGGAAACATCTGAGCTGTTAAGAGTTTTTTACTTTTGTTTATCTTGGAATTTTGAAGCAGGTTCTGGAGTCAAAGGATCATGTAAATTCCTGCAAACCTGTGAGCCGCATTGACCCTTCTTACAAGGAGACATTAGAATTCTTGCGGAAATTAAAAGTTAACTATACCTGAGACGTTTTAGATAGAGTTCCTGTAAATACTTGTACAAGCTCGAGGATTAAAGACTTGATAGCTTATACGTGCATGTTTGGGAAGCTCTAGACGTCAAACAGGCGCCTGACGCTTCAATTTTGGGATCATGAGCGGAGCAGCTTTCCTGCAAGTCTTCTATTAGATTTGGGCTTGCGAACTTGTTTATTTTCTATTACTCTCCTGTGTATTTTACCTTTAGGCAAGCTTGCTGCTAGCTCCTGGGACTTTGTATTTTACTTTCCTCTATATTACACTCCTTAATTTTTCTTCTTATTCGGTTAGTTTTCGGAATCCCGGAATTTTTTTTTTCAAATAATATTGATGCCCAGGAGAACATTTGTACCAGATCATATCATCTGCATAGATGATCAACAAAAATGATACATTTGATTCATGGTTCACGCCTTAAAGACGTACATGACAAGCGGCCAAAAAAAAAAGACGTACTAGACAAAATTGAGTGAATGCCATAAAACCTAAAAATAAATCAATATTGCCAGAATCACTCTTCCGTGGGACGATTTTCCTCCGCTTGCTGTTCGGAAACTTGAACTTTGATCTTTGGTAAAGTGAGAGATGGATATTGTTGAAGCACTGATAGAGCTTTGGCCAAACTGATGCCCTGCTCTAACTCCTTTGCAGCCCCCCTGAGCAGCTTAGCCTTGTTGCCTTTCATTCTATTCTTGATGTGTCTCTCCTCCGTACAAACTCTGATCCTATCAAGCTTTGGAATAGCCTTGAGGACATGTATTAAATATAAATAATAATCACGGTAACGTCATGTTTCTCTCATAAAATATTTATTTAATTTTACCTTATTTTCATTGAGTGCTGGCTGCTGAGGGTAAAATCTAACTTGTTTAATTTTTTAACTTAATATATATATAGTCGTGGCGGAATAGTCTATAGTATAGAATATAAAATTTATGGTAAATCACTCTCCCCGTTCTAAATTATAAAGTATATTTGAAAGAGTTTTTTTATCTCAAAATATAAGACACTTTCAATAGATTAATATTTCATTAAATATTTTAATTTTAATAATTACTCTTTCTCTCTTTACAATTAATTTTTGTTTCTTCTCTTTTTAATATATTAAATTATGAGTATTTTTGAAAGTTTAAATTTTATTTTGAAAAGATAAGGTTGTTAAGTATATTTAATGAGATTTATTGATATGTTAGATTTTATTTAAAAGTGTCTTGTAATTTAAAATGGAGGGAGTATATTATATTATTAATAAATTACCCAATTCTGCCTTTTATTTTAAATTTAAGCCAGTAAATAGATGAGTTGGGCTGCTTGACTCGCCCAATGTCGTCTAGTTGAATTGGAGATCAGGTTGACTCACCGGACGAAGGCAGATATTGGACTGATGGTGCTGGCTAGTATGGGTCCCATGATCTCATGCTATCAAAATGTTTTTACCCCTGATCACGTGGAGATTATTTCGATTGCTGTTAATTATAGTATTTTTTTAGCGGCTGAAAAAAATTTAGCTATGTTTTAAATATATTTTCAAATTATGAATAACTTGGTTGAGTTCATTGCTAATAGATGCTAGGGTATAACTACTGGAAAACGATATTTGTCTTCCATTTGAAATGCTAAGGTGCTAACCCAATCGAGCCAGACAGCACCACAGCAGGACACACAGTCGGCAATATCTGCAGTGATGTGGGTGGCGGCGAAGCTATCGTACGAGCCTCTCCTGCGAGTGCCGTTTTCATCACCTAACTATGTGCAATTGAAGGTGTCCACAATTTCAACTATGAATGTGAGGAACTTTCAGAGCTCAATTATCTGCTCTGATTCTACCAATTCCACGGCGGTTACTTCGTCCTCTCCACCGATGACGGTAAATAATGCTCCTCCGGTTCTGAAGAAGCGAAAGAGGTACAGAAAGCTTTACCCTGGGGAGAGCACAGGAATCACTGAAGAGATGAGGTTCGTCGCTATGAGACTCCGTAACATCAATGGCAAGAAACACTCTGACGACGATAATAGTTCCGACGTTGCTGACAATAGCAACAGCTTAGAAACATCCAATGGCGAAGATAATGGCAGTGAAGATGAAACGTGGCAGCCTAGTATGGAGGGATTGCTCAAGTACCTGGTTGATAGCAAGCTCATTTTTACCACCGTCGAACGTATCGTGGATGAATCCACAGACGTTTCTTGTGAGTTACTTGTTCCTGACGCCCAACTTTGATCCTTCACTTGCTCGAATTTTCCTATGCAACAACTTTGCTGCTCTAGTCCCTACTGATCTAATCAACCTGTTAGAGCGTTCATCAGTAACCAATTTATCATAGTATATTACAGACATTGTGATTTTAAATGAGCTGAAATCTTATATTAACATAACTTCTAACATGCTTTACACAAGGATTCGATGATAAATGTGTGGTGCATTATATTAGTTTAGTGAGAAAATACAAAAGTGATGGTAAATTTTAGACTGTGAACCTATAAATTACTGCTCTAGGGTACTCGATAATGATACGTTGCAAATATGATTACCTGGAGCAATTATCTCGTCTATCATTTTGTTTAGACCTACTACTAAACCTCAGGGAAATCCGTTTTTTTTATGCATGTCAGATGCCTACTTCAGGAAGAATGGGTTGGAGCGATCGGAAAGCCTGTCAAAAGATCTGGAATGGTTTGGCCGACAAGGATTTATGATTCCAGATGCCAGCTCTCCAGGGCTTTCTTATGCTAAATATCTGGAGGAACTTGCTGAGAATAATGCTCCATTATTCCTCTGTCATTTGTATATATATATTTTTTCACATCTTGCAGGTGGTCAGGTGATAGCAAGAAAGGTATGGATAAAACTCTTCCTGGATTTTTGTCTATGCGATCATTTGTCAAGTTTAGCTTGCAAATTTATGTCATTGTTGTGAATCCATGAGATTTTGGAGGTGGTCTTTTACTGACTCTAAGACCTTCTCGCAGCTTACATGTGTAATGCAAAAAATAATTGAACTTTTTACTTATTTAACTGAGACAGGTCGCAACAGAAGCAGTTCCTAGATGCCTGTTTCCACAGACATACATCCGATGCTATCGGTTACAAATCAATGTTTATTTGATTATTCCAATGTTATTACTTGGTCCAAAAACCCTGAAGTCAATCAAGACTGTATCTTTTTCTTTTATGGGAGGTTTTAATCATGGAAACACCATATGTTCATCAAGGATTTCTGTTATCATATTTTCTCTGTCATTGTGCTGCTTTTAGGTTTCTGAAAAGCTCCTGGAGGGGAAGGAGCTGGAGTTCTATAGATGGGAAGGAGATGCATCAGAATTCCTGAAAGGGGTCCGGGAGAAGCTAAATATGCTTAGCGAGGTTAACGTTTAAGATTACTTCTCATTTGGCTTTGGCATCAGTCATCAATGTTAATAATCAATGTTAAATATGCATTCTATAACTAGTCACATTTTTTATGATTTGTAAATAATGCCAGTTATTGTTCAAATTTTATGCAATGTACAAGAGTCCACCAACGACAATCAACGTAAACTTCTGTGGATATGTAGATAAGAGATGCTTTTGTTGTTGCAAGAGTCCACCAAATTTTATCTAAATGCTTTGTCTTTCTTATTCTTTATCCTGATTCTGGTTAATGCAGCATTGGACTCGAGATGAAAAAAACAGATGCTTAAAAGAAGCAACGAAGTCATTCCGGTTTCTGGGGCAGATTGTTCGTCTGATCATCTTATGAGCAGTTTTCTGATACTTCAATTAACAGCAGTGACTTGATTGTAAGATTCTAAAACTCCCTTTTTTCTCCTTTTATTTATCGTAACTGAAACTTTTAACTAATGGAGCCAAGATGAATCAAGAGGGGCAAATGTTACACTTTTCTTGCCCCCTTAAAATGACGATCGATGTAGTCTAAGAAAATGTATTTTAAATTTCGAGATTGTACAATTATTTTTAATTCTTTAAAATGAAAAACAAAGGAAATATTTTGCTTATCAATGGTGATACTGCATATCAGCTCCCAAATATCTAACAGCCGCCGATAGCCAATATGAATGGAATATATTCAGCTGCGAGCACTTCCTTTTCTAGAAAAGAAATTGAATGGTTGACTACTCTCTTTTTCGCGCGCTCAACTTTCATTCTATATTAGCTTTCTCTGTAATGCCTTGTTTCTTTGCAAACCCCCCCTTTTTTTGTAAAGGATCGATCCTGAAAAATTAATGGATCCAAGGCAGTTTATCATTGGTACATTTGAGAATTAACAAAATTCTGTACAGCCAATAGTTTGAAAAGTTATTTCACATGTTAAGATATTCTATTATCTGAAATATTTTTATATAAAGTAATTATGCGAAGAGCTTAACCTTAACACTTGAAAGATTTGTTTTTTCAATTAGTTTATATAAGGATACAATAACTTTATCCTTTTTTTTTTAAAGTAAATGTTGCAGGTGGTGGGGTTGATTAATGCACTTTGATAAATTACTACTTTACTATTATTCTCTGCAAAAACACTTTGATAATAAATCGTTTTTGATTCGTTGCACTAATTAAATTCTTATGAATTTTTAATCACCAGTGACTTGTTTAACCTGCTGCTGTACTTTTGCGTGAATGCTAATGCTGCGACCCGAGCTCAGCTCACAGATGACAATTGAAAATAACCAATTATATACAGTGCACTACATTTAAGGGCTTGAGTCCATCCCAGGCTGAAGAGAACAAGATCACTGGAGAGGCCCATTAGCTGGTGACTCTCTTCGTGTTGCCTTATCATTCTTATCCGTTCGCCCAATAACGAATTGGTCAATGATTTTAACAGTCTGTACAGGGTCCTGCTGAGCTGTGGCTGCCCTCCATTTGCTGGGATACCTTCTCAGATAGCTCAACTGCTCTGCATCTATTGGCTCCATCCCAATCAGGGTCTAGTTTCCACTCCTTTGGAACCTGCACTTGTAAAATGGCATGCCAGTTTCATAAACCGAAGAAAGCATATCAAATTCCCACCACAAACTCAAAAAAAAAAAAAAAGGAGGTAGTAAGGTAACAGAATTTAGAGCTGGTCATTATCATCGTGTTCTAGAAGCTTAAATTAGGTATCATTCACACGAGAGTGACACCAGTTAAGCAAACTGTGGCTCATTAGAAATTTCCATCTTATACACCTAGCAACTCTTGTGCATCATTCACCTAAGTTTCGAGCAATAACACTCAACTTGTGTTGCTACTAAGTCATGACCAACTCATTTCTCAAGTTTACGACAATCAGTGAGTTTACATAGCAAGGCTTCACGTTTGGGACTCTGGAGATTTACACAACCTAACTCAGCCACATGGGAATGCAATTCTTTCATCCATCAATTGGCCTTCTTCGCCAAGAGGGGTAAACAAAGTATATTGGGAGCTAGCAGCATAGAAGCGTCTTAGTAAACATGGTGCATGCTAATCTTAATCCTGTAAAATTATTAAAAGAATTGAAAATACGAGTTCAACGTCTCTCTGTTTCGTTTCTTCTAGATGGTATTGACCTAGAAGGTACCGAGTCAACGTCGCATCTTATATAAAACAGCAGGGAGAATTATGATTTTTTTACCTTATCAACCGCAAGAGTGAATGTTGGGCTCTAACGGGACAGTAAGAGCATAAAGTTGGAGTAGCAGAGATGAGAATGTTACAATGGATGTGCGGACATACACGTAAAGATAAAATTTGAAATGAGCACATACGTGAAAAAGTGAGGGTGGCACCTATTGAGGAAAAAATGATAGAAAATCGGTTGAGATGGTTTGGGCATGTACAAAGAAGACCAAGGGAGGCACCAGTGAGAAGAGTGGAACATATAACTTTGAGTCCGATTAAGAGAGATAGAGGAAGGCCTAAAAGAACACTCTTGGAAGTTGTTGAACGTGATCTCTTAATTAATAATATTTCTAAAAGCTTAATAAATGATAGAGCACAATGGCATCTTGCAATCCATGTAGCCGACCCCACCTAGTGGGATAAAAGCTTGTTGTTGTTGTTGTTGTTGTTGTTATTGTTGTTGTTGTATCAACCGCAAGAGTGAAAACTTCAAGGTCGCCATCGGAATTAATATGAAATCTTGTGAATGCCTTGTAATTAGCAATTCGTAGGGATGAGAAAGCTTCATCGAAGTGGATGTGAAGCCAATTGATGCAAACGTACAAATAGCTTCCAAACACAAACGAAACAGCTGGGGTTGATAAGACCTAAAAGTACAGGAAGACAGAAGCATAATATATCACAGTGCCTCCTCGGGAAAGTGACTCCATTCCCTTCTTGCAGATATGGTTTCGCGTGATAGCCATGACCTGAGAAAATTCACCATGAGTGTTTATATAGTGATCGAGCTCATAACAGTGATGACAATCTAGGGAACCCAGAGAATTTCCTTACTTCGGGAACATCAAATGCAGACATTAAATACTTGATACATGCTGGATAGAGTCCAAATGTCCATTGTTCTATACGAGATCGAAGGCCAGTTGGATCTGGAAAGTGCTCATTTTCCATTGATCGATACCACTGATACAAGGTGTGATAGCCTGGATAAAACGGAAGCTACTTAGTACTAAGTATCATGTTCCCCCAATAAAACTACACAGTAACTATCATAACACATGAAGCATCCAGAATTGTTTTCCATGTTTACTGTTGTAAATTCATGAGCTTAGAGTCAGAACAATATCCCAAGCCAAAAAAAAAAAAACTATATCATAGTTTGGCAATTCATTGCCCATGCACGTATATAATCGACATCAAGTTGGTGATAACATGACCCAATGGAAAAGGTTATTAACGTATTATATAAGCATTCACTATCTATAGTCTCACGAAATGCAGATGAAACATAAATAAATCAAATACACATATTATATCAACATATTTAGAAATGAGAAGGAATGCAGGTAAGCAAATTGCACCCATCTAGAACAGTAACCTTACCGGAAGTTGCCAGTAATTTATGTCTGATACAGGTTTCGACACAAAGTTCCATGAGTAACATAAGAGTAAGTGCGGCAGTTAGGTGAGCAGTGACATGAAGAACTCCAATAATTGCTCGTTTCTTCCAAGACACTTTGGGTGGAACAAAAGAATATGCTGCAACTAGCAAAATTATAGCTCCCCCTAGCGATACACAAGAGTTCTCCAAGATACATAAAATCCATTCCCCACAGTACTAAAGAAACTCCTCAATTGACTAGAAAATGAATCATCTTGCAGGATGTGATTGAGGTCACACTATAAATCAAGTCAAAGAAAACAGTCACAACTTAATGACATGTAATATCACCTATTCACCTTGTCAGATCTGCAAATATGCTGCCTCTTGCAAGACAGAAAACAAAAGAATGAGACAGACATGGCTTAAAAGCCATGATTTCTATTGGCAGCAAATGCAATGTATCTCAAAATGACAAAGAAAGAAATGGAAAAACTCACTTGGGGGAACATTGAAAAGACCAGTACAAAATATATAATTCCACCAATAACATCAAATTGCCAGTTCTTCTTACGAAATTTTAGTATATTTCCTAAAGCAATCTGCACCAAACCAAATATTTTATATAATCGTGTGCTAGAATAGAGCAGGAAAGTCGTGAGCAACTATTCAGTATTATCGTTCTACTTACCCTGCTTGAATCATCAAAGGAAGGATATGCAGCTTTGCATTCATAGGAAACCAAATCAAGCTCTTTAAATTTGCGGAAAACATGGGTTGGATGCAGAAAGGCTCCACCGCAGCCATTTACGAGTAGGTGTCGAGGATGGACTTGCCCATCTGATTTTACACAAGAATGACGCATGTAATGATGCAAGTCCCCAGCCATTCTAAGTTTACATCTTCCTCTTAAATAATCACAAATTAGGTGCGAAACATTCTGCCCAGAAACAACATTCCAGTACCAATTAAGAAGCCAACTGGGTTCATGAGTCATGATGATCACAGAGTCACCCTCTTGAACCTTAATTAGATATGATCGCATTAGGGTGTATGCTTAACCAGAGAGTTGGTCAAATAGAGGTGCAAAACAAAAAGTGGATTGTATCACAGGTCGGAGATTCAGAGACATGACCATAACTGGAGGAAAGAAAAAAGGACACGTAGGGAGGGTGACTGAGGAGGACATAATGGAGATAGTAATAGCAAAATAAACTTCATTAGCAAACTAGACATTGCAAGACAATATATATATATATATATATATGTATGTATGTATGTATGTATGTATGTATGTATGATAAGAGTAAGTGAATTCCTTGGAGGATGGGATACACAGGTGAGTCATACATTATTCTATTATTCAAAAGAATAAGAGAATTGGGGGGGGGGGGCGATGTGATCTTAAGTTAACTAGGCAATGCTAGTAGCACACCTTTTTCACACATTTCACTATATATTTCACTATCTACGTATCATTAGAACTTATAGCATATTGCATGATTCACAGGTTGCGAATAGTGCTGCTTACTATTCGATTTGATGTATGAAACTCACCATTCGATTTGTTATAAATGGGATTCAGAAGTGTATCATGGAAGTTTTCCTATGACAATAATAATAAGGGACAGAGGTGATCGTTTAATATAATTATTTATTATTTCATAATATTACTTTCAACCTGAGAAGTATTAGTATAAAAGTGTATCAAATGTAATACACTGTGTAAAGTTTAAATTTAATAAATAAATAAGGAGAGGGGTGCATGTGACTGTAACAATTAACTGGTGAAAAAGTGAATGCAAGAAACTTAAGTTTTAAAGAAATATTTTAAATTAAATAGAAGGATTATAACAAACTACCAGGAAAAAAAAAGCATAAAAGGAATTGAAATTAGAGACTTTCAATTCAAATTTAATGTCAATCTTCATTTTTATTCATGTTTCTAAAATTCTCAGTAAGCTCGAGTTATTTTTTTTAGCATTTTGAAATATTTCAAAAAGTATAGCAAAAAAAAAAAAAGAGGTCAATGATACATATGTTGGAATATGTACCCAATAAACATGTAATACATACATGTATCCTTCTTTGAAATACCAGTCCTTCTAATGCATTGACGTTTGCAAGAAAACCACTATTTTAGTAAACTGAAGTTACAGAAATTACTCCAAATTTAAATCCCTGAACCTTTCTGTCATTCTAGAAAAATTTACACACTATCACTACTTCAAACAACACATTATATAATAATAAACAGTAAGCAGAAACTATTTGCCATGAAACGTTCATGATGGATTCCATCAACATGCCAAAATAATAAAGAGAACATGGAGAATACCTTCTCCGTTATCACCTCTGAAAAGAATTTGAATTGGTATGCATCAATATCACCATGGAGTGCTAGATCAAGCCCTAAAATCCACCATCTTTTAGGAAGTTGCAAAGCAAAATAACTCTTCTTCTGGGGCATGAACCACCCACCTAACCAACTTTTATGATATATACATCTCATAAAGGTATGAAGTCCATCAATCTGTAAATCCATGAAGATTACCACATCATATTGGCATTAAATACAAAAAGGGATCTATGAAAAAGTGAAAGTATATTGACCAAAGGGAAATTCAATGATACAAAAGGGAAATTCCAGCTAAAAAAAAAGGAAGAAGAAGGCAAAAAAGAGGAAAATATGATCATTGCATGAGTTCCTTAAAATGAGGCAATTTGGAGTGGCTCAAGTCGAGGTGTACACTAACCATGATTTCCAGGAATTATAAAACACTGAGGTCCATAGTACTGCTTCAGTGCATTCCCAAAAGGTACCTGCGGTTTGTTTACAACTATCTGTTCTGGTTTATACCATGGAGGGGGTTGGAGAGCATACTCAAAAGGAATGAAAAGACGCCATTCATATGTGAATGCAGACTGGTTAGGATATCTAAAACAGAATGGGAAACAATCATTACCCAAATAAAGATATAGTCAGCATACCATAAAAAGTTCATATATATTAGAGAGGGCATAGAACTCATCTGATGCCTTAAATCCTGGACAATCAAAATCAATGCATCATTCAAAATTAAAGCACTCTCACCCTAGGATTCTAGGATGATACATTCTGTTCAAGAAAATGCCATCAGAAACTTACAGTGTAAACAATTATCTGTATTGAATATCGATACCATGACATGCTAACGATTGTCACACAAGTCATAAATTTCTCCTAGCCAATTATCTAGATTGTGCTAAGGTGATGGCAAAGCCTGAAAA